CTCTAAAACGAGGAAACGAATATTTTTCTAGTATAGATCATTTCGAAGCTCATAAAATTTGTTACACGCCGGCATGTTCAGAATTTCAAAATCGGTGGGAACAGTCCTTGGAAGATGGATCAGAAGTAAATCGACTAGGAAGAAACGTGATGTACTTTCAGTTTTTACTAATGCTAGTAAAGAAACGCGTATAGTTTGTGCCACATACCATTTTAAAGCTCGTCGAATTTCCTGTGAACTGAGCTATGTTCAGTCTCTTTAATTTTAGTCGCGGTATCACTTTTACTGGGAGTGATGGGTTTTGGCTTGGATGGGTTTTTACATAAGTTTTACGCCCTATTGAAGAGACATTACATGGATTTTAGTTATCAAGAGTACGCAAAATTACTTAAAATTGAATAAAAATACTTTTCTAATACTCACGAACTCGTTTCCCGGCATAAAGTGAAGTGGACCAAGTACTGACCTCATGCATCTTTTTTTCTGTTTTTAACTAATGCAAGCAGTGGACACAATTGTTTTTCTAGAAATGAACAAGTAATTATTCACAATATATTTGATGTAACAAGACAAACTGAAACAATTAATTTTAACTCAAGTATTCAAAATCAACGTCAATTATTTCACGGTTCAAAATATTCAAACTTTTTGGGTATCTTATCGCGCGGTTTATTATTACCAAAAATTCTTGATAAAGAAGGTGGAACAAGAACTGATATTGGACACCTTGGTTATGGACTGTATTTTTCAGACTCAATTAGGTATGTTAAATTTACTAGCAAGAATTAAAATACAGTGATTTGCTTCTCTTTCTCATTTTTAAGCACATCATTAAAATATACAGTAAAAAGTAATCAAAATGGGAAACGTTTAGTGTGTATATGTAATGTGGCACTTGGGAACAGTCCGAATTATTATTCTTCTTCTTATGATTTGATACAACCGCCTGATGGTTATGATAGTGTACATGGTGTCAAAATGACAAGTGAAAATCATTCAATATTTAATGTACACGGCAGTTAACTAAATATACTTCTTTTTTCATTATTATTTTGTTTCTCATTTAATAAGGATAACGAATATGCAATTTATAATCTTGATCAGCAGCGTCTTCTTTATGTCGTGGAAGTCTCGTGGAAACCACACGATATTGTTTCAGCTATTCCAGAATTGTTGCCTATTATTCGAGACCAATCACGTGCATTGACAGACCAAAAGTCGACGATTGAAGGTAAATATACGAAATTGTTTTTTATATTCATTTATGGATCTCTTTCCCACATATCTAAAGAAAAGCTCATTGGTGTGCTGAGAATTTTACAACACAGCTAAATCTCGATGAGTTATGAAAAATTTTTTCGGAAGGATTTCTCCATCTTCTATATGGCGTTCTAGCGTTCGTCACAGCGGAAAATGAGTCTCCGTCGAAGTAGTGTTTGACCCTACTAACTTGAATTATAAGGTCGAAGTTTTTACCACGTAATACTGGGTATATTGTTTTCTGGTTTTCAATAATTTGTTTTCTTTTGGTTAGGAGAACCAAAATACACACGACTAGGATGAAAACCATTTTATTTTGTAACCGAGGCTGTTTGAAATGCTTTCCTAATGAGAACCAACGGATATTTTTGAAATCTGACAGCGAATACATCTAGTATTATGTTTGTACTACTTGTGGTAGACATTTCGGCCTTAATAGGCACATCCCTAGGGTCGAAACGCTGCTCCGACTAAAAGTTAAAACAGAAAAAACCGGTTGTGCGATATACCCAGTCAACACAATAAGATCATATTTTTCGAGACCATCAGCAAAAAACACTGTAACTGCTTAACTGAGCACGTCCTGGGGCTGACGAGGGGGCCTTGCGAACTGTCACATCGCTTTTTCAGTCAAACCTAGTGGGTTATAGGTTATCAACTATGCTGAATCCGAATATCATAGTGGTAACTGCCCATCAGCCTTCAGAGAGTGTTTTTCAGAAAAACCAGTTTTTCAGAAACTCTAAAAAGTAATCAAAACCTTTCTTAACAAGGCAGGATTGTAGCCCGCAAAGTTCTGGTTAAAATGAGACATCTGCCAGCTCTACGTGACCTTTCTTTGCAAAGTAATATAATTTATAAAAAAACCGAAATTAATTTCTTATTCCTGTAGCTTTGAGCTGGTAATGAACATTTAGGGTTCTTCTTGTAAATTCTATAAGTTTGCAAAGAAAGGTCGTGTACAGCTGGGCGATGACTCATTTTAATCAGACATTTGCGTGTTACAATTATACCTAGTTAAGAAAAGTTTTGGTTACTTTTTGGTGTTTCTGAAAAACTGATTTTCCAGAAAGCCGCCCTCTGAAGGCCCTTGGACAGCTATCACTATGATATTTGGATTCAGCATAGTTGATAACCTATAACTCACTAAGTTTAACTGAAAAGGCGATGTGACAGTTCGCTAGGTCTCTCGTGAGAAATGTCTCTTTTTGAACAGAACAAGTTCAACTGTCTGATGTCATTGTTTAAAAAATTATAACTTGCTTCAATTGAGCTGTAAAGCTTTAAAAACTATAAAAGTTGAGGAAAGAGTTTTTAGAATATAATAACCTGAATATTTTATATCTCCAGATGAAAACATTTTTGAACTTCCGAATGACTTACATTTCGAAGAGGACGTTCAATTCTGTACAGAGCCATATCAAACTCAATTTTAAAAAATTTCTAAGTTTTAAGTTGGAAGAGGAGAGTATGCCCTTAAATAGTATACGTGTTCCTTTTAGTACCAGAGTTATTCGAAGATGAAGTGATAAAAATTGCCGAACAAGACTATGGTCTCATATTAAATTCTGGTGAACGACTACCATTAAAAGAATTCCATATACGCGCACAGTTAGTCGATGTAACAACAGAAGTAATTATGTTTATCTATTAATTATATTCCTTTCTCAAGTAAATTCCTAATCTTTATAATTCAAGGTTACTTTATATCAACTGTATCATAATACTAGTTCAACACCAATTGAAGCGAAATATGTCTTTCCATTAGATGAACAATCGACTGTGTGTGGTTTTGAAGCACACATTAATAATAAAGTAGTTGTTGGTGTGGTGAAAGAGAAAGAACAGGCAAAAAAAGAGTATAGAGAAGCTATACAAAAGGGTCATGGAGCTTATCTAATGAATCAAGAACAAGCGGTGAGATACTAAAAAAATGATCAAATAAACACTAAAACTTACGCCGTTCTCCCTCTGTAGGATGTTTTTAGTGTTTCTGTCGGAAATTTACCTCCTAATTGTGAAGTTGTTATTAAAATTACCTATGTTGCTGATTTACCAATTGAGAATGGTGATATTGTTTTTCGAATACCATCAAAAGTGGCTGAATGGCAAGCTAACGAAGTAATTAATGATAAGAGTAATCAAACAATGTTACCATCGATAGGTATTACAGAATCAAATCAAATCAAATTTAGTTTAAAAGCGTCCATTCAAATGCCGTACGATATTCAAAAATTATTTTCTCCTACACATCGTATACGTCGAAAAATAACGGCCTGTCATGCAATGATTAAATTAATCGATAATATATTTGATAAAGATTTTATTTTGACCATAACATTGAAAACAATGAATATACCAAGAATGTTAGTTGAAACAGATATCAATTCACAATCAAAGGTAGTGAAATCTTATTCTTTCGAACACACTACTTTTGTTCATTTGAAAACAAGTTCTTTCATCATTTTTTAAATAACTTCTCCAGTCAGTAGAAGTTACACTCTAGTGTTACGAATACAAATGAATGTCAGATTCATAATCGACATCACGAACTACTCTAGAGAAAGTAGTTTTGATCAGAAGATCTTAATTTTCGTAAATTTTTCTTTCATCAAATTGTTGCGTTCCTTTTAGATAAAATAACATCACATTCAACATGATTGTTAATACATGTTCTGTATGATTTCCAGGTCTCTAGGTACCAGTTCTGCGATTCAAGAAAATTTCTTCACCACCACTGCACAACAAAAATCAAGAGTTCACTACCCAAGCTTTCGATTTTAAACGGACATTTGAGACTATGATTTGATGAAAAACAATAAAATAACCCTTACTGAAATGCGTTGAGATATGGCCTAGTTTTCCAAGTATTTTCTGAGAAATCCTTCTAGAACTACTTCTTTGCTTATGAAAACATGCGTCCAAGTCTCTTCTGTCAAAAGTCTAGCTCACGAGTCTTTCTTTTTTAATCAGAAATTACTTGAAAAATTATGAAAATATTCATTTTGAAAAATAACAGTAATTATCGTTCAATTTTTTATGTAGGCTTGTATGCTAACATTTTATCCCAATTTCGATTATGATGAGTCAAAAAGTGTGACAGAAATTATTTTTCTAATTGATGTCTCAAATTCTATGGATGGAAAACCGTTGAAACAAGCGAAACAATTAACACATACGTTTCTATCAAACATGATATCTGTTGATAATATTTTATTTAATGTTATTGCATTTGGTTCTGGTAAGTTTAACATATTATATGAAAAAGTATTTCTTATTCAACAGCTCAAATTTTCAGATAATGATGAATGTTTTCCAATATCTTATCCAATTACAAAAGACAACTTGGACAAGGCAAAACATTTTGTTTTGGTTAGTGTCCTCTTTTTCTTGTTTTCTACATTTTCTTTCTATTTATTTATTTATTATCTTTTATATTTCAAAAGCACTCACTAGATCATCGTGGTAATACAGATTTATTTTCTGTTCTACGTACATATTCATTATTGCCATCAAATAATACACGAAATTTTGTTTTATTATCTGATGGTCATCTCAATGATATTGAATCAATACTATTATTATTAAAACAATCTCAAATGACTCATGATCGATTTTTTACGTGTTCAATTAGCGATACAGCCAATAAACAAATCTTGAAACAATTAGTTAATGGAAGCAGTGGTGGAGGTCAAGCAACTGTTTTTGATCAAAATTATCGATCAAAATGGAAGACAAAAGTGAGTAAGGTGTCGGAAATGCAAAGTTCAATCAGGATTTTTTTCCGTTTATTAATACATGATTGGATGAGCACATCGAGCTGACGAGGAAACCTATACCAGTGATACCTTCCGATTTCGTTTGTACATCGATCGATAGAGGGTGTCGAGCTAGTAAAAAGCCTAAAAGGATATCTGCTGGCGGCTCTAGAAGACCCGATTTTCTGAAAAATCAGTTTTTCAGAAATTCTAAGAAGTGACCAAAACTTTTCTCAATGACACATAATTGTAACACGCAAATTTCTGATTAAAATAAGACAACTCCCAGCTCTACACGAACTTTCTTTGCAAACTTATAGAATTTACAAGAAAAATCCTAAATGTATGTTCTTGTAAATTGTATAACTTTGCAAAGAAAGGTCATGTACAGCTGACGAATGTCTCATTTTAATCAGAACTTCGCGGGCTAGAATTATGTGTCATTAAAAGAAGGTTTTTTTAACTTTTAGAGTTCTTGAAAAACTGGTTTTTCAGAAAGTCGGACCTTCATGAGCCATCAGCTAATATTCTTTTAGACTTTTTACTAGCTCGACACCCTCTATCGATCGACATATGAACGAACGAAGTCGGAAGCTATCGCCTGGATAGGTTTCCTCGTGAGTAAGAAAAAGTGCTTTCTAATTCGTTAAAAATATCGGAAAAAAGTTGAAAAGTCTAAAACTTCGCAGAATTTATTTCAAAAAAATTCATATGCTTTTCATTTTCGTCGAAAAACTTCTCGAAAAAAATTTTTCGGATTCAGCATTAACATAACTGAGTAAGAAAATGATGTTTGATCGAGGTTGAAGTCAAGTACCTGTCTGGTACAGACGTCAACAAGATTTCTTTCTTTTTCGTTTTGGTTTGTCATTAAGAAAATTCATTTTTCCTAAATCAGGAGCGAAATGCTCGGAATTAACCGTAGTTCTCGCATTTCTTCATCAGAACTCATCGTTTAGGCAATAAAAATATCATATTTAGAAACAGCGCAAAAAACTGAGTCGAATGGCGTACTTTGTATCCTATCTAACCTCGTTGAGTTCATGAATTTTCACGTCGAGAAATTACTAAGATTTTCACTACTGAATTAGAAACACTTTTCTTATCCGTCAGTTCGATGCACTCTATCCACCCATATATAAATCAACGGACAAAAATCTTGGCTGAACTTTGAATTTTTTTGTCACCTTATTACCTATAAGGTTATTTATATCGATTCTTGCTTCTTTCATTAACTGTCTAGGTTTTGAATATATTAACAAATATTCGTCAACCTTGTGTCAATGGAATAATGATTGATTGGCATAATGAACAAATATATGAGAATAATAACAATCGATTTATTCAAGCACCATCACGTATCCATTCATTGTTCAATGGGATGCGTTTAACTGTCTACGGTTTTATTGATAATTGCTTTAAGGTAAACGAGAACCACGAAAAAAATTTTTTTTGTAAAGTAGCAGGACACTTGGTTTCACACTAGGCCACACTGAGAGCCAATATAAATGGTCAAGAATTAGCTACAACTGTTTTTACAAATAAAATGACCGAAACTACTGGAAGAGTATTACATTGTTTAACAGCTCGTGCTATTATTGACGATTGGGAAAATGGCTTGTTAAGTATGAATGAAGCTGTCAATGAAGTATGTTTTTAAAAATATTCGATAGTGACTAAATGACAATCATTAATTTTTTTAGCAATTAAAATTTCAATATAAACAACATATTATTGATCTAAGTATAAAATATTCAATAGTCAGTCCGTTCACGAGTTTTGTTGCTATCGAAGAAAGAAGCAAAGATGATACACAAATGCAACAAGGTTCAATAAAAACGATATTCTTATAATTTTCGTTGAGATAAACATGTTGCTAAATACTTTTAGGTATTCGTTTATTAGATATTATGCTTGAAAAAAATCGTGAACTTTTACCATATATTGGCTGGGATGGAGACAATTCACAGGTACATTAGAGAAGTTGTGAAAAATAATAGAACTCGTGGAACGGGGGTAGACATATTTCTCTACATGATGATACAGATGAAAATCATTCGTTTTCTCGCATTTCGTAGAAACATAAAAATCTAATGTATTTACAAAAGAAAACAAATTTTCGTTTTCTATCAGCAAAATATTCAATTTACTGTAATTTCTGTTCTTGTAATAGTTTTATAGATATACAAATACAAATCTATCGATATTCTTTTTGAAAATGAATAATATTCAATGAAATAGAATGCAGAGTTTGCATGTGCTTGACAAAAATCAACGGTGTATATGTACATATTATTCATTTATACGAGAAAAGCAACTGAACCAACAACACATTACCTATGAGAAATGTTGGAGGTATAATTAGATATACGAAATAAACGCATGCGAAAACTATGTTATGTGAATATGGGACAATTTTTGAGACCATGAGGACTC